GTAAGCCAAACTTGGAAGTGGCTAGCAGGCCTAATGGTGCCTCTGTGGGATCCAAATTCTGGAAGGAGACAGAGAGGTCTGGAGGCCTCAGACTGGAGAGCCTGATGGATTAAAGCCAAGCCTCGAGCAGTCCCAAAAAGCTGTCAGAGTGCCTGGGCAGTGTGGAGCCGATCTGGACGATGCATTCCAGATGGTTTGCCTTCCTTCCTTGGGTTTGGGGCCAGTTGGAGCTCCCGGGCGGTCTCCCAAGGTAGACCCCCTGGGAGCTCAGGGCAACTGTCCAGCTGGGAGGGACCAGGCTCAGGATCACTGTGGCAGGCTCACAATTAGAGGGAAGGGCCCCTGCTTTGTGTGGAGCATCTGGATATCATTTTTCAGGCCATTAAAAACACTAACTCTACTCTGCTAAATCAGCCAATTCACGAAAAAAGAAAGAAAGAAAGAAAGAAGGAAAGAAAGAAAGAAAGAAAGAAAGAAAGAAAGAAAGAAAGAAAGAAAGAAAGAAAAAGAAAAGAAAGAACAAACTTGGAAGACAATTTCAGGCCAAGCAGTTGCCCCAAAATGGATCCAAATAATTTGGATGATATGGTGAAGCTCAGAGAAGGGGTTCCAAAACTCTCTAATGGCATCTAACCACCACCCCCACTCCACTTCACAGCTTCACCAGCTCATGAGCAATGACACCACCAACTGCAAAGACTCAAGGGCAATGCCAGGGCTTTGCAGTATATTTCACCTTTTGGGTTTGTTTTTTATTTTAGCTTGTGCAAAACGTACAGGCAGATGCAGAAAATTTTCTTGCACGTACAAGGCTTTCAGACTAGGGTACAGAAAATTAGCATGAGACAAAGAGAAAAGAAGGAAAGGAAAAGAGACAGCACATGAGAATGGAGAGAAGGAGCAGAACTCCACCAGCCACCTGAGAATTCCCAGAAATTCCCAAACTCCGTGGTCTCTGAATCAGCTGCAGCCATGATTGCATGTTTTACTGTGAAGAGGAGGCCTATTTGCCCATGGTCCTGTTGCAGCCATGTGGTTGGACAGCAACCTAAGGTCAAGGGCCAACGCAACGGCCCTGGGGAGGAGACAGAAGATGAGGCGCATGCTTCTGCCCCATGAGTACACAAGACTGGATGGGAGAGAACCAGGCCCTGCTCTGGAGAAATCCTGGCTAATGAGGTAGCAGGTCCCAGGGCTGGGGAGCTTCTGGCCTACTAGACAAGAATGATCACAGAGCAACATGCAGCAAACAATTCCAAGGGAAAGGAGTCCATAAATATTGAGGGGACACAGTGAAGGAGTGAGCAGAACAGGTTGGGGTTATTCTACTTCTTGAGAAAAGTTGCTCAAAGAGAATACCCTTCAACTGTACTCAAATAAAAAAAAATTTAAAGAGAAAAGAAAGCAAACCCTTTCCAGTGCAATAGTCACACACAGAGGAAGCCCAGGTACAGATCCCCAACCACTCCAATGTCCGTCCTGCTGCTTTTGGAACTGTGCTCTCGTGAAACTATCTTGGACACATTTCCAGAAGGTAGGTATCAGAGAATGAAAATCTTACACATCCAATGAATCTCCCAAAGCCACCTTGTTTGAGGAGTGGAAACATCTTCTACATATATGTCCCAACTCTGTGAACTACATGTGATGGTAAAGACAGGTTTCCTAAAATTTTTAGCCTAGTCCAAGTTGGGAGAAAATAATGACATTTGGTACATAAATGTCTATTGTAAATATATGTCATTATATAAAAATAAGCCATGAATAATCAGAAACATAAATCTATATGCTGCAGACTTGCAGCAACACACCTCCACATGTTCCTAATGGCTCACTTGTACCAGGTCCTCAAGACTCAGGCGAGAGTATGGTTAACCCCATGATTCAGAGACCTCATTTGACCCTGGTCCGCCTGGATGGCTCAGTATGCAAATCGAAAACCTTGAGGCTCAGACCCTCTCCTGTCTTGACAGGGCTTTTCTGGGCTGCCAAGCAACTCCCTGCTGTATGCCAAGGTGTAATTAGTTAAGGTTGATCTCGCTCATGGCAGCTCTGCTGTGAAATGCCAGTCCTGTTCATAGCTCGCCATTGGGCTCTGTGCTTGTCTTCTTGGAGTTGTACCTCAGGTCTAACTTTTGTCTTCATTTACAGCACTAGGGCACTGACAGACTCTTAAATGCCATAAACAATACTTTTCTGACACTTATCCACCTCATGGTAGTGCAGACATGTCACATGTACCAGCCAATCCTTCCAAAATAATATTGATATAAGTAGTAGGCACACAAAAAATGAAAGGCATTTTTACCTCCAGATTTAAATGGAGGTGTTTTTGGTATCATTTCCCAGACCAGGAGACTTACATGGTGGAGAACTTCCCCAGAATGAATGTTTCTTGCTCACTTGAATTTGAAGAGAGACTTTCTCAAAGGATGCAGGCAAGGGGCACCTGGGTGGCTCAGTTGGCTGAGTGCCTGCTTCTGGCTCAGGTCATGATCCTGGAGTCCCAGGATCGAGCCCCTCATCAGGGTCCTTGCTGCTCCCTCTGCCCCTCCCCCTGCTCGTGTTTTCTCTCTCTCTCTCTCTCTCAAATAAACAAATAAAATCTTAAAAAAAAAAAAAAAGGATTCAGACAAATGTTGCTCTAATTCTCTACATGGAGCGATGTTAGTTGTTCTCATCTTGTCCATACATGGTGATTGGTGACACTGCTCTTCTGCACACTTAGGTCCTTTCCCACTATGTTTGTACCTCTCCTCTGGGACTCCTATGTGGCATGGCCCAAGTTGAATGAGGGAGCCCAGGATTCTCCCAATTAGAGACACCTGATACTGGCCCCAAATTAGCTTGCCTAGGGAACAGAATATATAGGTGCAGTGCATCTCAGCCCAGCCCCAAACTCATGGCCACCAGTCCTCACTTCCTTTCCTGGAACTGCCCGTGGGTGCTACCTGAGGTGTCCACTCCAGTGTTTGCTTAGGAAGAAGATGCCTGTGATGAAAACTGGAGGCCTTGAGGCTCTGCTTCATAGGGGCTTGGCCTAGATTTTCTAGGATAACTCACCGCACTGGGGGAAATGAGCTCATCTGGTCACTGACCTGACAGATGGCAGTGACTCTGGTCAAGGGTGCCAAGGAAAACTCCCAGAAGACAGCCGCTCCTCTGTGGCTTTGGTGGCAGGGCCACATGGATGGGTCTGTCCGCCAGTAACCTTCTCATATCCCCAGAGTGTAAACATCAAGAGAAGCCACACTCCCTGAGATCTGCATAGGGGATGTCTCCATGGTCATCTTGACCTGATTTGAGTCAGTAAAGAATCTGTTAAACCAAATCCCATTTGAGAAATGGGTGGCTGTTCTTAGACTCCGACCTGGTAGAGAGTCCATCCTGGAACCTCAGAGCTGAGGAAAGCTGGCTGAAAGCAGCAAGACTCATCCAAGAAGCTGTGGTGGAGGCACACCCATCCTGGCCTGGTGGCTGGCTGCCAAAGCAGATTGGCTCCAGGTGAGTCACTGGCAAAGAGCACTTCTTCCTGTTCTGCATCAGCAACCTGTGCACGGGTCATGAGCTGCTGGAGCAAGGTCATGGTGTAGAATTTGAAGGACACCAGGAGGCTTTTGCAATCTGATGATATTCCTGGGCTCAATGAATTCTTCCATCCAGTCTCCTACTTCCAGGAGGCTTGCTCCCCTGGCTTCTCTTCAGGTGCCACGATGGGTCTCTTCGTGTGACACCAAGCAGCTATCTCCACACTGCCTCTGTCCAGGAGACTTTGTTGAATGTATTGCTAGCTGACCCAAATGATCACAGTCTGAGCTTCCCCTCCCCCACTCATACAGTTTCTTTCACTTGTAAATAAGACGTGAGATTACCCTGAAAACTACTCTAGGAAGAAAGTATACACATTTGCCGTAACCAGGAATATCTAAATTTACTTTAATCCATAACAATTCATGTTAGGGGGAATTTTCTTTCTGATTGTTCATTTCACCCTGGTAACGCTTAGGACCATGTAGGGACAAGCCCAATTACCTCCATTAGACACCTGAGGACAACACAGCCCCATAGTGATTCGTTTGAAGGACTCCAGAAAATTGGTGACAAAGCTGCTGTCTGGTTTCCTGCCTTTCCTTCTGGGGTTCTTTCTACCAACCTTCCTTAATTTATTTATTCAGTGTAGCAACTAAAATGAAAAAGTTCCTAGCACATGCCATGGAAGAAACAGGTTTTTAGTCTTCTCTCCCACAGCCCACCCACACAAACCATCTGTCCAGCCACCCCAAAACAGCGTCGCGCTTTCTGCCTCGGCACCTTTGCTCCTGCCGTGTCACTTGCTTGAACGGCTCTCCTCCAATTCTGTGTTTAGTGAAACTTAATCATCCTTTCAGTCCAGGCTCAACTGTCCTCTGTTCTATATTGTCCTTCTGATTATTACAGCAGGAAATAATTGCTCTTGCTGGCGATGCCGTTAATTTAAAAAAAGCAACTTTGAGGCTGTCATATACTGCTTTGGATTATAATTTTTTGCAAGTGAATTTTATCTCCCCAAGTAAACTGTGGGCCCAGAGGTGGCAGAAACTATGTTCCCCACAGTGTCTTGCGTATAATAGAAGCTCAGTATTTACTGAATGAGTAAGTGAGACATGGGGACATTAAATGGTTTCTTCAAGGTTTCACAGTATTGGGACTTGAATTCAGAACTCCAGAATCTGGTCCTCATGTTCTTTCTACCATGTCATGCTGAAAGCAACATGGTTTCCACTGTGATGAGCTTTTCTGCAGGTCAAAAATGGTTGAAAACCAGCTATTCATACAACTCAATCTAACACAAAGCATACTGTGCTGCTCAGAAAGAACAGAATAGTTTAAGTGGTTGGGCTTGAAAAACTGAACTTCCTGTGCTATTTCTAGCATGAAATGAGTAGCTCTCTCCCAAAGATGCCCCCTCCTTTCATAAACTTGAACTGATTCTCACCTTGAGTCAATGTGAGAATGAAGTATGGTGGTCATTAAGGTGCCTCCATGGACCACACGAAGCAGACGGTGAGAGGGTGACCCAGCATTGTCATCTTTCTGTCATCTGCGTGCTTCTCCATCAGCATTGACTAAGCACCCTCTGTTTGCCCATGCTGCGCTGGATGACGTGGGTACAGAAATAACACAAAATCTCTATCCTCATGGGATGCCAATCTAGTAACCATCTATGACTACTGTAAATAATTTAAGCAAAATCTTAAATTTACTAGACAATGTTTCTCACTCTTATTTTATCTGAAGAGTTGAATTAAGAGTAGAACTCTGGGCATCATTCTGTAAATGACATGTAAACTCAATCTGAATGCCAAAATGTAATAAAATAGAAACAATTATGCTTACTCAGAACATCTCAGGAAGCTGCTTGGGGTGGGAGATTTCCAAGACACTGCTGAGGCTCCCTAGGGGGCTGCTCAAGGAACAACAGAAGTTCACTCACCTGCCATCAAAGAGGATTGGGGTGGAGTTAACAGCGGAGCTCTTCTTCTGTGGAGCACAGGGTACAGGTTTGGGTCAGAACTAAATTATTCAAGCCAATAGAAAAGAGACTGATCCTATCCTCTTTCACCTGTGGTTGTCAGGCTGTCTTTCAGTAAATATGAAACACATATTTAAAGAAGCTGGGTTTGAAGTAATACCAGATTGGCCCATTAAGGCTGCTGTCTGCCTCAGTCTAGTCTTGTTTATCTGTGTCATTTTACTTATCTGGGGGGAATGAATGGACCACTCCTTGGGTAGTAGCAGAAACCACAATGGAACCCAGTCTTTCATACTATGCATTAACATCCCATTGTTAATAGCAATTCATACCACTTGTTTATTTATTAGTGACAATTATCTGCATTGCTCAAATGACTTCCACATCCAAATTAAATATTAGGATATTAGATAAACAACATCAGTTTTCTGAAGGCCATACATCTTTGAAGTACAAAAGAGATTCAATAAATCAAGCAAAGACCAACAGCCTACTTCCTACCAGGCACTGTGCTAGGTACTGGATGTCCCAGTTGGTAAGGCCTTGTATCATTCATTCAGAAGACTACTCTGATAGACAAGCCAAGAGATGTTTTTGTGAAAAGATAAAACTGATCTTCAGGGGTTGCCTGGGTGGCTCAGTTGGTTAAGCAGCTGCCTTCGGCTCAGGTCATGATCCCAGGGTCCTGGGCTCGAGCCCCGCATTGGGCTCCCTGCTCAGCGGAGAGTCTGCTTCTCCCTCTCCCTCTGCCTGCCTCTCTGCCTACTTGTTCTCTCTCTCTCTCTCTGTCAAATGAATAAATAAAATCTTTAAAAAAAAAACTGATCTTCAGGACATCATCTTTATAAAATTATAGACATATCTTAAATAGCTCTAGCTCCCTTTAAAGAACTCACAATGAGTTCTTTCTCCATGCAGTTACCTAAATTCCTATTGCATTTATTTTGTTCATGTCTGTATCACTTATTGGTATGACCAATTTATAACTCAAAGAGTAAAGTACAATTTCCTCTTACATGTTCTAAAATTACATCTTTCAAAGTTCAAGGGCTCCTTCTCCCCCTTTAGTTTTAGTGTTGGATAATCTGATGAGTCATTCCTGATTACACAGTATATGAACTTCATATTTTCATAAAATTTAATCATGTTCCCGTTCAGTCTTCTTTTCAAAGTGCTTTATCCCAGCAGTAGGTCGCTAGTCCTCAAGTCATTTCTGAGGCCCTTCTGGAACTTTCCTGGTTCTTCATGTTTCTATTGATGTGTATGGTTTCCAAGAGTGGGCAATAAGCGGGTGAGGTGTAGGCTACTGTGATTCTATATATATCCAGGTTGATGCCTACATAATTAATAATAAACAAGCCAGTATCTCATACAACCATTTGTCATCAATCCATGATCCAGACATTGCCTCGCTGTCTGAACTTCCTTACTGCAAAAACAAATAAACAAAACAGCCCTACTGCAGCAAACACCTGTATAGAACATTCCTTTAAAACTCATTGTCTTGCTGCTGCATTCTATTCTCTGATTTTGGTTTTCTATCTACACTTAAGCACTCATCTATGTGCTCAAAGCAAACAAACAAACAAGACAAAACAAAAACCAATATATCCCTCCTGTCCTCCTGCAAAATACCAAACAACAAACCCTCTCCTTATTCCCCATGCATTTCCATATTTTCTTTAACATATTTCTACTCCCTCACTAAACTCGATTTTCCCTTCTGTGCTGTAGTGGTTCTTTCTCATCTTTTTTTCACAGCATACATGTTAAAAACACAACAAAAAGAAAAGTCTTCTCATTCTCTGGCTAATGTGTAGCCAGTACAGTGAGGAGAAAATGGGTCTCACAAGCCAAATAAATTTTAGCAATTAACAGTGTCTTCTGTGCATGGAACTTAAAAATATAGCTTTGGACATTTCATACTTCAAAAATGTCAATTGTGAAAGTTGCATTTAGGTAAATAACTGCTTTAAAACTAGACTCTACAACATTGGATATGATTTAGCATGGCGCCTTGCATGTAGGAAATGGATGATAAATAATTGATGAGGCTTTACTCTAATAACTACATGAGAAATATTATACTTCTTAATGCAGATGTCTGGTGGAAGTTTAGTTAACTCTGTGAATGTTTTTGATGGATGAATGGAAATCATGTGGTGGACTGATGAGAAATGGATAGAGTATATAGGTTTCAAGTTTTTAGGAGGTAATATTCCCTTTGGGACCACCTAGATAGCCTGTGGTCTAGTATTCTGTAGAATGAATATGAATATGACAGCAGCATACTTAAAAAAATTAATTAGTTCTAGAAACTGATGCTTTTAAGTGTTTCTTCAGTGGATCTTCAAAAAAGGCAGCATTGTACCCATGCACTCAGGAAAAGCTTTAATAAAAAAGCAGATGAAAATCAGTAGTACAGGGGCTCCACTGTTCCTTCAATCTTTCACTCAACTGTTGTCAACTCTAAATACTTTTGGTCCAGTTTAGAGAACCATCACTGGCCTTGAGACTCCCCAGAGAAAGCCTCTACTGGGTTTTCATCTTGAGTTTTCTAAAGACATGTTCAGTGCCAGTTAGGCTGCATGAAGATGTAGGCGGGATCTTTGCACTTACATGATCAGGCCACTAAGCAGGTGGTCTCATATTTCACTGAATTGGGAGTGAACACAAAATTCACAGGGACAAATGTTGATTCAAGCACAAGGATGAGGATTGCCAAGTCTCATATCCTAAAATATGGAATTAGTCAATGGCTAGGAACTCATCCACACATCAGTCTGGAAAGATAAGTCAAATACAGAATGTTTTCTTTTTCTACCTTAAATATCTGCACTAGCTGACTAGACAGTACGATGCCAGTTGCTAATTTTAGAGGGTTTGGACTTGTTTCTACAGTATAGACATAAACTAAGTATGAGGTCCAAAAAAGCTAGTTTTTTTAGAACATAACTAAAAGTCCCTGTCAGAAGCTGCCTGTTGTTAATGAGAAGACTGTTGGAATAGAAGAATATAATAAAAACCAACTGTCCTTCCCAGCTGACTTAATTTTTGAAGAGACTGAAAAAACACAGACATGTGACCTGTGGCTTGAGAGAAGCCCAAATGAATTCCTCCAACACATTTACATTCAAGCTTGACCCTGCAAAGATCTTCATTTTCTGCTCCAAGGATGCTATGGCATATGCACCTTCTTCCCGACTGGGCCTCTGAAAGGCAGCAGGTCCTGCAGGGGCACTGATCATCTCAGAGCAGTCCATACAGTTCTGTAAATCTTGTACAGAATTTCAGATCCCACCAGCTCTTATTTACAAAGCTCTTTGACACCTATTCACAGATTTATGGTTCAGAATGAAAATGCTTAGGATATACAGCCTCCCAGAATGTTCACTGTTTTCCTTTTGCTGTTTAGAAATAGGAAGCTTATTAATTTTTAAAAATATTTTATTTATTTATTTATTTGAGAGAGAGAGAATGAGAGAGCACAAGCAGGGGGAGGGACAGAAGGAGAGCGAGAAGCAGGCTCCCCACTGAGCAGGGAGCCCGACATGGGGCTCGATCCCAGGATCCTGGAATCATGACCTGAGCAAAAGGAAGATGCTTAACTGACTGAGCCACCCAGGAGCCCCGGAAGCTTATTAATTTAAAGCAAATGTCCACAGAACATGCATCATCCTTCAAATAGTTTGGTAATACCTACCAAATTTTAAAGTGGGGAGAGAATTGGGGGAAGATGAAACAGGTAGCAGCATAGCTTTGAATCTCCCCAGGTCCCTTCACAAACAGAATAACTAGACAGCAAAACCAAAACCCCTTGAAAATATTTATAGGAAAGCTAGGTGACAAAGTATCCCCATGAACTTCAAAACATAAGCAGAAGGGGATAGCCACAAGACCTGCAAATTATCAGCACCTATGTAAGAAGAAGCAAAGGGAAGGCACAGTGTATCAAGAAGCTCTGAGAGCAGGGAAGCTAAAGAATAGCCAACAGGTATTCACTGGAAAGTACAGTGGGTTAACATGATAAAAACAGCTAAATCTAGAATTTTGTGGTTCATAGTGGTTGATTGCATGGAGCCCGCAGTAAGAAGGACTGAAGGGGTTGAAGTTGTGTCAACCCTATGAACTCTTTAGACTGACCAGCCAGGGCATTTTTCCAAGAGGGCCCGCACTGAGGAGGAAATTGTGGGAGTAGAACCAAAATTGAGTTGTACTAGGACAAGAGAGACAAAGGAAGAGAAATTTCAGATAAAAATGGGGAGAAGAACACAGCCAGCCACCTTGTTTTTGAACACTTCACAAAAACAACAGGGACGTCCATGAAGTCAGTTTTCCTAACTTCTTAGTCATGTCTTTAACAAAACCATGCCTCTTTCTAAAAGTTCAGGAAATCTGATTTTACATAGAAATGAATAACAGAAAAGGATGAAGTTCAAATTTCATACAAACATTGTTAGAAAAAAGAAATGAAGGGGCAGAATGATATTCCTACAGACAATGAAATCACTTCAGAAAGGCAAGTCTTTAAACAGGATAAGAACAGTAACCTACTATTTCAAAATGAAGTGAAAGAGATTAGGAAAGTTATACATGAAAGGATAACAAATCAAAATTAGGAAAAAATCAGAAAGGAGAATACAGAACTCAGAAGAGAATTAGAAATAAAAGAAAAATTTATTTCAGAAGTAAAAATGAGATCAATTCCTCAATCCCATTTACAATTGCACCAAAAGCCATAAGATACCTAGGAATAAACTTAACCGAAGAGGTAAAAGATCTATACTCTGAAAATTATAAAACACTGATGAAAGAAATTGAAGAGGACACAAAGAAATGGAAAAACATTCCATGCTCATGGATTGGAAGAAAAATATTGTTAAAATGTCTATACTACCCAAAGCAATCCACACATTTAATTCAACCCCTATCAAATAGCACCAGCATTTTTCACAGAACTAAAACAAACAATCCTAAAATTTGTATGGAACCACAAAAGACCCCAAAT